GACCTCTTGTTGCAGCATTTAGATCACCCCTGATGAAGGCACTAGACAGGAGTGTCGAAACGTTGGGTCTATGAATTGTAACTTTTTGGTTACATTCAGTAAATGTGCAAACCAGAATAGCATCAAATTATGTCAGCCTTTTCTCTTAAGTAAGCAACAGTTTCAGTGCCAGTGGAACGCTTGCATTTCTTTTGTTCTTGTTCACTCTTCCTCTTCTTGCTCTGAGGAAATGTTTCCATTGAATCCTTTCACATTTCAACTGCCTTTGCAGTCTCTTCCTCTGCCTTTTATCTGAATCCTCTCTCTTTGAATCGTTTAATAATGTCTGTGATAGAGTCATCAAATGGTGTATGTTCCAGGGAAATCTGTAGTGTCTAAAAATGAAGAAGTATGCCACAAAAGGCAGCCACGAAGGCGAACAACAACAGTACACACAGTACACGTTTCTTTTAATAATCTTTCTGCGCTCACACTTTCCCGGATGTATACTTTTACATAAACAACCGCTGTCCTAGTATACTACATTCCCTCTCTTTCTTCGCTCAGATGGTTGACCTCGAAAGACAGAAACATAACAAACTTCCACTTTGTTTAGATACCGTAAAAGTTCAATTCGATTCCAAATGTTCAAGACAAAAATCACGCTAAACATAAACATAGCCTTGGCCGTTCAGCTTATAAAACAACGTTTCAATGTCACTCATGTAATAACAACGAACAGTAATATGAAAATGCCAATGTCACTAGTTTTAGTACAGAACGTAGTCACTCAGAGCCTTTGGACGGCTCGTAATTCTGCCGGATCTTCTCACATGCTGCTCAGCTGTAGGTACAGTAGAAGGTACATCTTCTGGTGGTGATTCAGCCATTGGTACTTGATCCTCTGCCACAGGTGGCGTCTCAAATGACTTAGGTTCAGTCCGTGGTTTAGCGTCCTGTTGTGGCGTTTCCTGTTCTACTGGATCTGGCATATTAAAGGACTTAATACGCTGAAGGCTGCGTTTGTACTGGACACCTTGAGGCGATCGCAACACCACCTGGTCCCCATAACGAGATATCACCTGATATGGTTCCTTCTCATAGCAAGGTGACAGCTTATTTTCTTTCTTCTTCTCAAGCAGAACACTGTCTCCTTCTTTCACATTTCGATCTCTGGCATGGAACTTCTTGTCCACATAGTCCTTGTTAAACTGCTTTCTCTGATTGTCCCGATCACGAACGGCTTGGTCGCTCACTTCTAGCTCCTCCTCTTCAACGTTGACTAGCTCAGGCATTTTAGTTGTTAGCTTTCTCCTAAACAATAACTCGGCGGGACTCTTTCCTGTGGTTGAATGTGGCGTGGACCTGTACGCCAAAAGAAACCTGTTTAGCTCCTCTCTCCAATTCTGTCCTTCTGCATGGGCTGCTCTCATGGACTTAAGAAGCGACCTGTTTTGCCTCTCTACCTCGCCATTAGCTCTTGGCCATAGAGGTGTTGTGTAACGGTGTTCAATCCCCATTTCATTCAGGTAATCTTCTACTTCTTTGGATACAAGATTTGAGCCATTGTCGGTACGCAGACCTTTAGGCAACCCATGTCTTGCAAATTGGGCATCCAAGCAATGAATGATGGTTTTGCTGGAAGTTGTTCGGATAACATCAACTTCTATCCACCGGCTGTAATAATCAACGAGAACTAACAAGTGTTCTCCAGAAGGTAACGGACCCATTAGATCCACAGCTACTTCTTCCCATGGTTTGTTGGGTAACGGTGTTGACTTCAATGGTGGGGGTGGAACGTTCTTTGTAACCATCTGGCACCCGTAACACTCTGCACATCTTTTCTCGGCATCACGATCCATAGCAGGCCACCAGACTTTTGTTCTAAGTCTCTCCTTTTGTCTTTGTGACTCCTTGGTGCCCCTCGTGTGCCAAACTAACGACTCTCTTGCGAAGTGCTTGGGGTATAACAATTCTTGTCCCCCGGAGAATTACATGGCCAATAAAAGTCAACTCATTGCGCACTGGCAAATACTGCTTTGGGGCATTGTCCCATTTCCCTTCGATGAGACAATTTCTGAGTGCTTGCAACTCAGAGTCTTGTGCTGAGACTTGTTCAATCTCTTTGATTCTCAATGCAGCGGGGACAGCATGTAGAGCTATCGCGCGTACATATCCATCATCTTCCGCGGAATTGTCTGACGCCGGTATCTTCGTCAGTCGGGAAAGGGCATCTGCGATGTTTTTCTTGAAGGCACATAGCAAACTTGATAGTTGTACGGTTGTAAACGCAGAACCCAGCGCTCTATTCTGGCTGAAGGTTTAGACTTCCTGGAATAGATGACTTTAAGTGCTTCATGGTCTGTCACCAGATCAAACTGTGGAAGCCCGTACAAGTAGAGGTGGAAGCGTTCACAAGCCCAGACTAAGGCTAGTGCTTCCTTTTCTGTCTGACTATAACGACGCTCCACTTGACTCAAACTACGACTAGCATAACAGATGGCACGGCTTTCCCCATTCTTTTCTTGCACCAGCACGGCGCCAAGTCCAACAGGACTTGCATCAGCAATAACACGGGTGGGTGTGTCCTTATCGAAGTAAGCTAGGACTGGTGCACTTGCAACTTGACTCTTCAATCTCTGAAACGACTGCTCCTGCTCCTTGCCCCAAACGAACGGTTCCCCTTTTCTTGCAAGTTTTCTGAGGGGATCAGCAGTGGTAGCAAAATCGGGTATAAACCTGGCACTGAATCCAACGAGCCCCAAGAAGCTACGGACTTCTGAGGGTGTCTGAGGCTGACTTGCCTCTGCAACTGCTCTGACTTTTTCCTCCGTTGGGCCGATGCCATGCTTACTCAGCAAAAGACCCATGAATACCACTTTAGTCATTCGGAAAGTGCATTTTTCAGCATTCAAAGTCAGCTGCTTCTCACTAAGACGTTGCAACACACTGTGTAAGTTCTTATCATGTTCTTCAGTGTCTCGACCATGAACGATAAGATCATCTGCTATGTTTGACACCCCTTGTAGACCTGCCATTGACTGGGTGATGATATGCTGGTACTTCTCTGGTGCGGCATTTACACCGAAACTCAAACGTTTGTAGTGGAATATACCATCATGGGTGGCAAAAGCAGTGATATCCCTTGAATCAGGATCCAGCTCAATTTGGTGAAAACCCCACCTTAAATCTAACTTTGAGAAAACACCACTCCCATTAAGACTTTCAAGGACTTCATCTATGGTTGGTATGGGCAATCTTTCCCGAATAATGGCCTCGTTGGCTCTCCGCATGTCGACACACAACCTTATGTCCCTGGACGGTTTAGGAGCAACAACGACTGGGCTTACCCACACCGTAGGCCCCTCGACTTTCTCAATTATGTCCTTTTCAAGGAGTTCGTTAACCTTGGCAGTTACTTTGTCCTTTACAGAAAAAGGTACTCGTCGCATTTTTTGAACGACTGGAGTTACACTGGGGTCAATGTGTAGCTTCAACTGATAATCTTTAAGCTTTCCAATTCCCTGGAATACACTGGGGTATTTTGCTTTGAGTCCTCCCACGAAGGTACCATCAACAGTGTTACAGTCTCCTGTCCCAAGAGTTCCCGAGAGATCCACACGAAGGATTCCAAGATCTGTGGCGGACGAATATCCCAGCAAACAACGCCCGGATTCAACAACAATGAAATCTGCCACAACCTTTGCTTTGGGTACGGAAACTTCTGTCTGAAACTGGCCCTCAATTTTAAGCTCTCGACCCCCATAAGCATACAATCTCTTCAGACAAGGTTTTAATTCAATCTTGAGCCCCTGATACTTAAGTTCCTGCAGTGTATCTTTACTAATGAGGTTACTTGCAGAACCTGAATCAATCTACACATCTCTGCTGATTCCACCAATCTTCACTGAGATAACGGGTTCAGAGGAATTTGACATAGCACATGTCTGTTCTTCTATAGTAAAAGCAAAACTGTCATCCTCACCTGACTCGTTACAATGACCCTCAACATGATTTGCCTGTCTCCCCTTACCATGACGCTGCTGTCTGCCTCCCCGTTGTTGGGTGTTACCTTGTTTTCCAGGCTTCGAGTTCTTTCCCCCTTTGCAACAGCTGGCATAATGACCATATTTACCACACTTGCTGCACTTGCGACCTCGGGCTGGACAATTTGTACTTTGGGCAAAATGACCTTCTTTACCACAGTTGAAACAAACGCTTTTCCCTTTGTCTCCACGCCCAGGACGTTCTTCAACTGCATGAGTACCTGCTCCAGGTTCTTGGCTTGGCATGACCATTTGACTTGCCTGCTCGTGTGAGGCTTCCCACTTTCGAACTTTATCCATTGCTGCTTGCAGAGTAATATTAACGACTTCCAATAGCGTCTTCTTTAGCTCAACATTAGGCAACTTTTCAATCAATTGATCCCGTAAATTTTCTTCCAAAGTTGGACCAAAATTACAATGACGAGCTTGTTTACGTAAACGAACCATGAACTTATCGGCGGTCTCTCCCTTTGTCGGCGTAAGTTGACGAAAGACATGACGCTCGTACGGTACATTGTCCTCGGCTCGAAAATGAGCATCCAACTTTCGCAGACACACCACATACTCATTATCCTCGTTAGCATTCAGTGGTCCAGATTCCAGGATCTGGAATATCTTCGTAAATATCTTGTACTTCCATACCTGCTAAATGAAGTAACTGAGCTGTTTTCCGAGAAGGATTCGTAATTCCCTTGCCATCGATGTAATACTGATACGATCGTTTCCACTGTCGCCATCGTTCCGCGACCTGAGAGGAAGACCCTGTTAAATCTAGAGGCGGAAGCGCCCTTTCTACTGAATTCGACATCCTCGTCGCCAATTTGTAGTGTCTAAAAATGAAGAAGTATGCCACAAAAGACAGCCACGAAGGCGAACAACAACAGTACACACAGTACACGTTTCTTTTAATAATCTTTCTGCGCTCGCACTTTCCCGGATGTATACTTTTACATAAACAACCGCTGTCCTAGTATACTACAAAATCCCATCGGCTTTTTCTTCTTCTCTTATTTTCTTCTTTTGTTCTTTCTCTAGCAAGATGTAGTGATTGTGTACAGATTTCTGATTCACAGTAAACCTGGGAGATTCATGCTCATTTAAGGACTCACTTATTCTCTCCCAAACCTGAACTTGCTGCTTACTTCTTCATTTGTACTTCCAAGGTTCAAACAAATACATTTCTTGCAATAAAACTTCATTGTGTTGATCAGTCCACACCATTGGCTTTTTAACACTGCAAGAGCAAATATATTGTGAGGAAAAATGTTACAGAAATAATATAAATAGACTCATTGTCTCCATTGACACATACGACATCACTTTTCTAGGAATACCTTGCAACTAAAAAATTTGAGTGAGCTGCAAAAATCAATCATTAATGGTATGTTGCAAAACAAATAACTTGTATTAGCTCAAAACTTTTACATTAAAGTTTTCAACTTAAGATCATCAACATGGATAAGAGACGGCTAGTCTAAATCAATTCAAGACTTCTATTCAGGGAACAGAAAGACAATTCATTAAAGCAGTCAAAGGAAAGATGTATTGTTTGAGCATTCAACAAACAGCCCTTTAATTTGAGAGCAAAAAAACCTGTAAGGTTACAAATGCCATGGCCCTTTTTTCGCTCTTGCTATTCTTTAGTATGAGCGGTTTTGTTGACCAATTTGCTTGGATCCCTTTGCAATTCAATATGAGTAGAACATTATTTTCGAGACTGAGCCCTGATTTGGAGGGCTCCAAGAGTAACACAACAGCTATGCACAAAAAACATGAGACTAAATTTAGCCTTGGAATTTAGCCAATTTGATTCAGCTTAGAAACGGATTATAGAAAGATACAATTGAAAATTAAATGACTTCAGAAAATAAAGAATATTTTAAGAAATGCATTTGTCTTGTTTTGAGAACAGTGCTGTCATTGACTACTAATTTATAAACAACGAAAGCATCTTTAAAATGCGTACATACTCCAAGCAAAAGATAAACTATATCTCTATGAGACAAACAATTTTATTAAACAGCAGCATTTGATGCAAAAGGGGTATAATTTGTACAAAACTTACCTTTTTGTACAAGGTTTTCTCCTTCAATGCTTCCATCCTGCAAGTTGCCTCCGAAATGGCAGATCTTCCCACCTTGCCATCTGCCGAAGCCGTCTCGCCAAGACTGGTGCATGCGTAGTTATGTGCCTTCGGCTGTGGCATCGCGAATATTTCTGGATCGTAGACTCACTACTGATAAGAAAAGGCAGTCCGGACCTCAGCTGAAAAGAATGCAAATGAACAGCAATTGATCCATGTTGATGAATAAACCAGCTATTCATCCTGGTGTTCTAACCATCAACATTACTAAATAATTGCTATCCAGTTAGGCTTATTCAAAAGTTCCTTTCAAACAGAATAAAGTCAGCCCAAACTATACATCTTGATTTTACAAAAACAAATTCCATATCTGTTTACATTTTAACAATAAATATTCACCTACTCACCTTTAATTGCATCAAGTTTGTCCTGGTTGAGGGGAGAAAATTCCTTGGTACCCTGAAGAGTTGAATTCATAAGGGTATCTTTTGTAAAGAAGTGGTCAATTAGGCAAAGGTTCATGATGGTTGTTTTGGAGGCAGCCTTCGCAAAATTGAATTCAGCTCTTGTCAGCCACTCGTTAGTATTTCCTCCAACTGCAACTGTACCAGTTCCTTAAAAAAAATTATATTAAACGGGTAAGCGTCACTCTCAGAATAGTTTTATTCATCAAAGCTACTTTAGTGCTCAGGAAGAACGTGAAGGATCAAGCAAGTTCACGGAAATCTGTGTGGTAACCATTTATTATCACTGCTTCTTTCTTCACACTAGTAAAGTAATTGATCTTATGTTCTATCTTCCATGGGACTGCAAATTGAAGAGGACTGATTTGGCTGATTTCAGCAGAAGAATCGATTGGCAATGGCGTCATAATATGCAGGTTGACTGGTGTTGAGGTAGGACATGGGGGAGTTCGCAGCAGAGGAGTTGAAGATGTGTGTTCAAATCCCTGTCATTGCTTAATGTTATGAAAGCTGTAGGACCTGACAACATCCCAAATAAAGTGTTTAAGGACTTTCCACACAAACTAGCTCCTGTCATTCAAAACATCTCTAGCCAGTCTTTTAAGGAGGGATACATCCTATTACTTCTAAAATCTTCCATTGTTACCCCAGCCCCAAAGGCCACCCCACCAAGACAAAATATAGGGCGATCTCTGCCCCATATCGCTCACGTGTATACTGGCAAAAGTCATGCAGGGATTCATGTGCAATCGTGCAATAAAATACTGCGTGTAGAGACCACTTGACAACAGATGCTCTTTTACTCATGTTACAAGCTATTTATGCGGCAGTAGACTGTGCTGATCTGGGAGCCCAGGTCTTCTTGACTTTTCAAAAGGCTTTGGTCTAATTGACTATAACATCTTAATGACTGAGTTGCGAAAACTAGAGGTTGATCCCGCACTCAACAGTTGGATTGCTGTGTTCCTAACAGACAGATAGCAGGCTGTAAGAATAGGTGCAACATTATCAGATTGGAAATTCCTCAAGGGAGGCGTGCTAACTAAATTAAACTAAACTAGGATGATACTTTTAACAATAATGAAAAACAATCTTTTAGCTGATTGGCACTTGAGAGTCAAGTTTGTGGATGACACGTCCACCATAGAAATACTATCCAGGGTTAGTATTATCACATAATTTTACCACAAAATGGTCTCCCATCAGGCTTCATCATTAGTCGCAAAGTAGAAGACAGCTGGTGCAGCCTTTGTTCCCTTACAATCAACTCCACAACAGAATTCAAATTCACAGAGAAACCTTGTATAGGAGGAGCCACCTTCTTAACCCTCATATTTTCCCTACAAACTCCAAAAACCATCTTCTTCGCTGCCTTGATCTGGTTTAAGTTGAGGAGGAGAGCTGTGTGAGAGGATTTTTAAGAAAATAATAGAAAGGAAGGTGATAAAAAGCAAAGATGAAACTTTTTAATCCAGGTTGATTCTTTGTTTCCTTCGTGTCCTACCAGTCCTAGGAAACAAAGGAAACAGACAACCAACCCCTGTAGGTTAAGAGATCTTCCCTTGAGTATAATTTTGACCAGTAACAATAATATTGCTTCAGTCAGCAAGGGTCTTCGTGACCATTTTACGAGAAACTTTTATCACTTTGCCAGCCATATGTTCTTCAAATTTGACAAAATGAGTTAAAGTACTGCTTTTACCGTTAAAGCACTGCTTATTTTCCTCATATATATTTTTGAGTTATTGATGAATAAAGCTCTACCAGTTCAAACAGCATCTATCAACAGAATTTCATGGGAAAAATCTTAAAAATTATATTTTAAATTTACTTTTGGTGTCATGGAACATTAATAGGAGGTAGGCCAATGACCTTATATGTTAATGGTCCAGGGTTTGTCACTAAAAGCTGGCTCCCAGCATATTTCACCACCTGAAAAAGAGCTTACGACTGGCTCAAATTGCTCTGGAAAACAGACATAGGGTTATTTTGAAGATGCAGTTGAGTAAAAAAGCCAGCTTGACCGATAAAAAAAGCCTGTTTATCTTTTCGTTAGCTACACCCATCACCGTTTGATTCCTGCTGGTTGAAACTTTTTTGTCGTTTTAATTTTTCTTTCTTTTTTTAATATATTTTTCCTATTGGCTGGTTTAAATTGGTTTGATATGCTTCCCCTCATCACATCTTCCTGAGGTGTTGCAATAGACATATTTCTAGTATAATCATGACCACGGGCTCACATATATTTTACCCAAATAGGTGCAGCTTCAGAGAGTTATCATTACATTCTAGCCAGGAATACTTGACACTCATTAGCACGACTCATAACTTCAGTTAAAGGACTGCCATCCGTTTATGGAAATAAGTAAAACTCGCTCTTTATAAGCAGGAAAAAATCCTAATTTTTAAAAACCAAATTTATTAGCACTTTTGATAAATATTCATACGAGGCTTTGCTTAGGGGAATAACTGAATAACACAAAAGAAATAAGAGCTGACTTAAACATTGAGGCTCGCAATGGAATAGTTCTTTTTTTGTTCTTTTATTCCCTTAGCCAGGGCACCAAATATGAATTTTAATATACTGACACAAGACCAACATAACTAAACATCTTACCCCCATCCTTCTGAGCCCTGTGATGTTCATCACGGATTTTTGAAAAAACTCTCGCCATAGCCTGGAAAAGGACAAGCTTCCAGTCAGGAACTCTCAGGCACTCCACATACTTCAACATTGTGTTGTTGCCAACTAGCTCTTCCACACTCCTCTTTACTCCCCTTTTTACAGCTACCTCTTCAACAATTTCATTGATGATGGCCTTTGCTTCTGGGTCGCCAAATGTGCATATGTTTGAAAGCATCATCGCCAAACTTTCCCTTTTTCTTTTGCACATGTCATGCACATCCTTGATGATGTGACTGCTTCGCTGCTTAGATTTGGGGAAACATTCTTTATTTCAGCTCTTTGCAAGTTTCCACTGTTTTGGGGTGTCAAGGCCACAAATGACGACGTCTTGTTTCTTGGTGTTGTTGGCATTTCCAAGCTCTGTGAAGCACGTGGTCGTTCTTTGTTTGCTTGGCTTTCATTTTCTTCATCAACAGACATTTTACTGAGATCTACTTTGTTCAGAAAATCTCTCAGCTGTGAAATGACCTCAGAGCTCTCCGTAGAAGAATGGTGAAGCAGAGTGGTGATCAACCCAAACAAGGAACAGACAATTTCCATTGAATTTGAAGACTTCTTGTTAGAGTAATGGCGGCCATCTTCCAGCTGAATGTAGGCACTGTCGATTCTTTGAAAATCGCCTGGAAAACTGACAACATCAGGTGACCACTTAAAGTATTGCTTCAGCGTTGATCCGCAAACTTAAGAACTAAGAATGAACCAAGTCAATTGTGGACTTAATTCAGGGCTGATGACCCAAGTGAAAAGCGAGAAACCCTTCCTGGGTGCCCTCTCTAATGCTACTGAATCACGTGTTTGAAATACAAAACTGCAAAGAAAAGATAGGCGGGCAAAAACCATGACATTTGAATATTGACATAGTAACATTATACAGCAGCTAATTAGAGAGTGTTGATAACCGAGCTAGTTGGCCAATGACATATTTAATGAGATTAAATCAGATTAACTTCAGGATTATCACACCCGAAAAAGACAAGCCCAGCGGGCTTAATAGCAGAGCTTGCTTAGCCCCATAATTATACAAAATAGTAGTAACCCATCAAGCCAAAAAGATTTGGATGTATGACCGTATGACCATACGACCGCATATGGTGCTACTTTTAACGTGCGTGGTTAACTGTACCGCAGGCATGCCAACGCTACAGCCTTGTCTAGTGGTCCAGTGGTCAGTGCACTGGGCTCCGAGTCGGACAACCTGGGTTCTAGTCCTGGCCAGGGCAAGGTGTTAAGACGTGCAGGAAAAAAAAAAAAGGCAATCTCCGCTTTTAGGCTTGGCTAAATCTATGTATTACTTAAAGTGCAAAGCACTTTTTTCCTCTCCTTCTCATGTTAGAAAAATCTTGACATGAAAGGGACAAAGTTCTTTCTTTTTATTTGTAATTCCACTTCCTTGGGATTCTTCCTTCTAGTTCACTTCAAGAGGTCAAACCAATTCTTCATGAAGCACTTGTCTCTGATAGTCTTTCCATAATTGGCGCTCTCCTCTACTAGTGTGAAAACAAGTTTTTTGCTTCCACAAATAACGGATGGACAGGGAACAACTCGATAAACTTCTGGGAAAGGCTTTCCTGGGGGCACTTGCTGGCTGCGGGAAGGTCAGGATCTATTACAGCTGTTGACTATCCTTGAGACAATAACTAGCAACAACAAAGTTGGCTCCATCTTAGATTTATTCTGTAAGCATCCCTAAGCTGACTGGTTTCCTTTTTCACTATTTTTTGACCCCCAATTCTCCCAAAGAAAGCTCTATCTAAGCCCAAAGTACAAAAGATTAGGTATTGCTATGAATCGTCTAAAGGATCATGTAATCTGATACAACAATTGGTTGAGTAGGAATTTCCCCTTTTACAAGATTAATTACCTTAAAAAGCTCAGGTGGATAACAACTACATAAAGGATCATGACAGGTGACAGTTACAGTTTAACACTAATTACAGGTATGGTCTAATAACAACTGTTTACGGCTGACTGTATTGAGACCAGTATCATTTATGCATGCTGAACTCAGCAAAATCTCGCAGTTTCTGCATTGGGTGTTATATATTTTTTTTGGTGTTAGCATACAAACTTGATAACTAATCGTTACAATATGATTTTCTGATGCTGGAAACTCAAGGATCAATCCCTGAAATTGATAGTCATCACATTTTGCAAAAGGCATCCATGCTGTGATCATGTTATTAAATGGGGTCCTGGCAATTTGAGCTCACAAGCACACTGGTAAGCACATGATTAGCATAAACAGTTGTTGTTTACAGTTTTCGAATTCAAGAGTACTTTTAGAGAGTCCATTTCTGTAACTTTCCTGGATATTGTCTGTTGAATTTATTGAGGCACAATGTCAGAGTTTCGTAATTGCTTATGAACAATGAATTTGTTTCAGCACCATAATTTAGGGAAGTTTTTTTTTAAACACATTATAAGTTTACAATTCATAAACGATTTTGGTAACCTGCTTGGATATTTTCTTTTGAACTAATTGAGTCACATGCTTGGAATTTCATCAGTAATTAAAAAGGATAAATCCATTAATGAAGCACAAGTGAAGCACATTTTAAACTTTCCATACAAAGTTTAAAAAATATTTATTATAGCTGTATTCAGAAGCATAGACATGTAGGTAATATGCTTTTGCTTTATTTTATTAAAAGGGGTTTCTTTCTATGTAACATGTATCCATTCTTTTAATTTCTTCCTTAACCTGGCTGCAAATAATTAAATTTGATGTTTTAATTCAAGTGTGAGAAGATAAAACAAAAGTGCACCAGAGTTCTCTTTCCAGATTGAATTCAGGTGAGAACATCATTAAACCAGTTAATGTCACATGTTTCCAATGAATCTTTAATTTTATTGCCTTGGTTTTTTTCCATATCTCTGTGTGCCACCAGATGATTAAAATCTGAGTGAAAAGATATGACATATTTTAAAGGTTTTTTTAAAATTTTATCTTTAAGTTTTTTGGCATTCATTATTTTAAAATTCATAAATGACATTCCCTTTTCATCCTTATAAAGAGATATAACACATTTCTTTAACTAGAATCTGAGTCATGAAGTCAACCTTATTTCAATGAGTTTGAAAGTTCATTCTATATGAGATCACTTTACTGAAGGGTAATGTTATATTTATTTCTGTCTTTCTGGTACATATTGCTACCATATGTGTCTTAACCCTCTAACTCCCAAAATAATTCTCCTTACTGTCTGCCATCTAATTTATGTGATGTTGGTTGGGAGAATTTGGAGTTGGATCAACCAATAATCCCCTAATTGATATTCTTTGCTATTCTCACTATTTGTCTGCTTGATATTGTACTGGCAGTGTGAGGGGAAATTATGTATAGGTCATTAGTGGGACTTAACAGGCTACCTAGTCAAACGGGGGATTTCATTGTATTGTAATGATTCAAATATTCATATCCTTTCAAATATAAAAAAAAGCGGGATACAGAAGTTTTCAAAGCTGATAGAAATAAGCTGTTTGCAAATAATGAAAAGCAAGTCAACAATCATACGTTAATGCTCTACATGCTTTATTCACACATGTCAGTTGTGTGTACCTACCATTGTAGAGGTGTCTTTAAAAAGATTCCTTGGTATGTCTGTTGTTCTTTGTTGATTTTTGTTGCCAAAACAGCTTTTTAGGGTATTGAACTTCAACTTTTATGTACACAAGGCACCCTCTAAGGTGGAAGAGTCGAAGACCATACAATGATGTTTACAAGGCACTTGAACTTTTCTGCAATCATATATTCAAGGAATACTCTACATTTATAAAACTGATTACATGATAAAAGTTAAAAATTTTTTCCAAACTCGGAGCTAAAAGTTAAAACTTATGAAATATTTCGTCCGTATTTCGACCGGACTTCATCAGTCAATGATATGAATGTTAAAAAGATGAATTATAAAAAAGGTTTTTTTAACGCCTCTTGGGGGTTAGAATTGTGTCATAGATAGCTGCTAATTCGTAGCCATTGTCTCTGTTTAACGCCGGTTTCGTAAGTTTAATTTGAATAGCTTCTTTTATCCTGCGTTTGAAGGTGTTAACTTCGGTTGATAGTACTTTTATCTTATTTGGGTCCACCGAGTGGCCCTCTAGGCGACAATGCTCGTGAACAGCTGATGAACTTCTTGATTGGTGTTCTTTCACTCTGATTTCCAGAGCGCGGGCCGTTTCGCCAACGTACTCCTTGTTACACTTCTCACAATGGATCTGGTACACAGTACCGCATTTCTTGAGATTGACAGTTGTGTCCTTGACACGTACCAATTGTGATCTTAAAGAATTGACGGGTTTATGAATAAGTGTAACATCGTGTGACTTGAACGCTCTTTGCAGGCGTTCCGAGATACCTTTGATGTAAGGCGTTGATACATAGATTTTCTTCTCGTTTTGAGGCTCTTCGGTATCTTCTGTTGTAGATTTTGGATGTGGTATTGTTAGCATCCATTCTGGATAGTTATTCATTTTTAGAGCTTGCTTGACATGCTGTGTTTCTCTAGTTCTGTCCTCGTTTTCCGTAACCAAGGTGTGAGCTCTCAACATCAGGGTGTTAACCACAGCTCTTTTGTGTTGTAGATGATGGTTTGACTGGAAGTTTAAGTACTGGTCCGTGTGCGTAGGTTTGCGGTACACGGAGATCTTGGTAGAACCATCTTGGTTAATACTCACACAGGTATCAAGGAAAGGAATCCTGCCATCCTTTTCTTGTTCCGAAGTGAACTGGATGTGTTGGTCAATGGAGTTTAGATGTTCTAAGAAGGAATCGACGGCGTTTTCGTGAATCTTGGCCATCGTGTCATCAACATATCGATACCACATACTTGGAGGGGTGGGGGCGGTGTCCAGAGCTCTGCTCTCGAGCTGTTCCATGTAGAGGTTGGCCACTACAGGGGAAATTGGAGACCCCATTGCGGCTCCTTTCTTTTGTTTATAGAATTCACCCTGGAATGTGAAGTATGTGCTTGAGAGGCACATCTCTAGTAGAACAGATAATTGGGCGATATCTAACGGGCATCTGTCCGGTAAGCTCTGGTCACTTCCCAGTTTGGCTCTGACGACTGGAATGGCTTCATTGATCGGAATGCTGGTAAACAGTGAGGAAACATCGTATGAAACGAGTTTCTGTCCAGGGGGTACTTCAAGTTCTGCAATCTTGTTGACAAAGTCTTCACTGTTAACGATGTGATGACTGTTGAGGCCAACAAGAGGTTTCATAATCTTAGCGAGGAACTTGGCAGTGTCGTACATCACGCTACCAATGCTCGAAACTATTGGCCGTAGCGGTACGTCTTTCTTGTGAATCTTGGGTAGCCCGTAGAACTTTGGGACCCAAGATTTACAAGAAAGACGTACCGCTACGGCCAGAGTGAAAGAACACCAATCAAGAAGTTCATCAGCTGTTCACGAGCATTGTCGCCTAGAGGGCCACTCGGTGGACCCAAATAAGATAAAAGTACTATCAACCGAAGTTAACACCTTCAAACGCAGGATAAAAGAAGCTATTCAAATTAAACTTACGAAACCGGCGTTAAACAGAGACAATGGCTACGAATTAGCAGCTATCTATGACACAATTCTAACCCCCAAGAGGCGTTAAAAAAACCTTTTTTAAAATTCATCTTTTTAACATTCATATCATCGACTGATGAAGTCCGGTCGAAATACGGACGAAATATTTCATAAGTTCTAACTTTTAGCTCCGAGTTTGGAAAAAATTTTTAACTTTTATTATGCTTCCGGAGCAGGAAATTAACGTTTTTGATTGTGTGATTACATGATGTCTTCAACCCTTTACGCCCTAACATCAGTATGCATATTCTCCATACTATCTCTATACATTTCCTAATGTGCTGGCATGGAGAATTTGTCTACCAATCTAGAGTTTCTGCGGTGGATTATCATTTCCTTTATTCTCGTGACCTTAATGTTTGATTCAGGGGTGAAATTAGATTCTAGTCACTCTCAGAGATGAAAGGGTTTATCACTGTACACATTATAAGATTAAAAGATTTTAAGATTGTTAGAAGGACAAACAAACAAATGAATAGAAGACAGTGAAATGAGGGAAACTGTAAACTTTATCATGTGAAAGAAACGTCACAGAATACTTAATAAGGCAAACTTGAATTTTGCTAGCTAATTTCCTGCATAGAGTGTTTTCACATGTCGCATTTTTCGTGGGAAATTTGAGTCGCCATATTGGAATTCCACATTTTCCAACATGGCGGAATATCCACTCTCAGATTATGCGAACACACTCGATCCCCACGTGAAAAAGTGTTATTTAGAGAAGAGTTATTGTGTTGGAATCGATCCTGTCTTGATACCAGACAAATAATACGATCCAGAATGCCTGCCTCCTGTCGAATCCATGGATTTATTGTCGTTTGTGGTGCTTGACACGAGTTATTACGGTAAGGACCAATTTAAGGCTTACAGAAGTCTGCAGTCTTCTAACCAATTGGTTTCAGGGTTTGTAAATAGCGTTAAAGGACAAAAAAATAGGTAACAACTACATAGTTTCTGGGAAAATCCGACATTCACAAAGAATTAATGATCCATTTGTCGCACTTTGGATAATAACCGGACACAATGGTACAGTTCTCTTTGCTCACTGTGTGGGATGCATGGCGGTTCAAGGGGAGTGCTGCTCGCACATTGCAAGTGTTTTGTTCTACATCGAGGCATGGAATCGGATAGACTCAAAATTAACCTGTACACAGGTAAAAAGCACCTGGCTGTTACAAACTGCTGTGAAAGAAGTTCCTAATGCCCCAGTCGCTGACATTGATTTTCGCTCAGCAAAGAAACTTAAATAAGTAAAGATTTGGTAAAGCATTTGACAATAAAAATCTGCGATAAAATATTATAAAACATAACACGACGTTTCGACGTTTCCAGAACGTCATTATCAAGTGAACAAGAATAATAAAATCGAGTATATATATAATGAAGCGGTGAATACATTACAAAGCGTTAAAAGTTAAACAAAGAGTTTGGCCCTAATGGAATCGCTCTGGGTGTTTAAATTGGGCCTTACTGTTCTTATGTACAACATTTCATAAACAAGACAATCCCATTTCGTGCCACATTTTTTAAGCATTCTAAACTGGCTCTCATTGAGTAAGTCAATGTTCCCATGGGCATCTCTCAGGTGGCGACCAATGGCAGAGTATTGATGATCAGCAATGCGTTGAAAAAAATGGCGCGTCGTATATCCGACGTAATTTGAATCACACAAATCACATTTAAAACAGTAAACAACGCTATGCTGACTTACGATGCATGGCTTGATTTCTTTAAGCTTTAGAAAAAATTTTTAGAACATTTTATTTTAAAAGAAGTGTTCAAAGAAACTTAGGCGAAATTTGGATTAAACCATCAACAAATTGACGACTACCAAAGGATGTACAGGCAGTCATTCAAGTGAGGTGGCGAAGGTTGCGGCTAATGAACTTTTATGTAGAACTGAATTCTTGCAAGATTAACGCTGCAGCTTTAAGCTTGATTTACCCCTTCTCCGATGCTTTTATTTCTAAAAGCAGAAACATACCAAGTATCTCAGATTTATTTCACAAGAAGCTTATGAAAAGATCACGAAGGAAAAGCACATCAACTTTCAAGTAACGCAATGTGGCACATTTATCAATAAACAGTCTCCATAGCTACATGCCACACCTGACTTTTCGTGAGGGTGTGGTTGCTGTGGGGATGGATGTGGGGAAGTCAAATGCCCCTATTGTTTAAAGGATACAGACTTGAAGCAGTATATTAACTAATACAACTCTTGTTTAAAGTTAGAAAATGGAGATGCAAATCAAAAAGGGAACATACTTTCTATTACCAAACCCAACAGCAAATATTCACCGCTGGAAAGCTTTACTGTGACTTTGTTGTTTGTGGTTTTTATGAGCAAATTGATCTCTTCTGTGAAAGAATCTATCATTTATCTTGTTTGAAAATTACAAAAGTACCTAACAAGTGGTTTTGTCCCCTGTGTCTAAAAACATCAGCATCCAGAAATGAAAATGCAAACAGACAAGAGATATTTTGGATGAAGCTCTTAAATTAGATTTTATCTGCACATGTAAACAGAAGCCACTGTGTTGAGATAAACAGCTGAAATGCCATAACCCATTTTGTCAAAGTGGAAAGTTTTTTCATTTGCCCTGCTTAAACTTCAAGTGGATGCTGAACGATGCAATGACAACTTGAGAATGTACGGTGTGTAAATCAGGACGAAAAACTGAAGAAAGCAAAAAGTTGTTAATGACTCTTTCAATACATCTGATGATGGTTTTGTGATAACTGGAGTTTTACAATGCTCTTCAGAAAAGTCAGCATCACTTGAAAAGCTGAATGATGGGCATTACCAATTGATTTTGTCACCCAATTGTTGACTTGATTGTGATGTTATCCATGAAATACATGTTTGTCTCATAAACATTAATCCAGATGTGGAGGGTTTACAGAGACCAACTTTGGGCCCTGTTAGAAACTTCAATCAGGTTAATGGAGAATATATTCAGATTATGCACACTAGTAATGCTCACTGGGTATGTGTAAGCTCAGTAATGAGTGAAGATGGCACTGTCAACTTGTCTGACAGTCTGTATCATAACATTATTTTAAATGAAGTACAAGAGCATGTACTCAATCTTATTGGATATTCAAATTTTACTAGCATTCAAGTTGTCCCTGTTCAACAACAGACACATGGCAGTGACTGTGGAGTATTTGCTGCGGCCTTTGCTACATGTCCTGCTTATGGTATACGCCCTGAGACAGTGCAATTTGATGTCCCTAAAATGAGAAACCATTTATATCAGTCTTTCAAATCTGGTGTATTGAAAACGTTTCCAATATTTTAGACTGCTTAAGGTACATCTTCTGTTAAAAAATTTTTGAAGAGAAAGAATAGCTGCTTTATCATAGAGGAAATTATATAGTTGTTCAATGCAACGGACCTGCATATTGGAAAGGAATAATCAATTCACACAGTAAGTCTGAAAAAACTCTTGCACAATATATAACCTGATAACTTCATTGATCACTAAGTTCTTGATTGACAATCATGGGAATCATTGTTGCTGTTGTGTATGAACAAGACAAAGTACTGCTGAAATACTGGGATATAATACTTATGCCATGCCTAAACAGTAGCCCCTCTCCAAAACCTTAGATCCAAAACCTTTCTGTAGTTATTCAACGAGCAAATAGTACTATCGTATATAGCGGACTACATAGCATAGTTATTCGGTTTATAAGGTGCTCCGTTTTTTTCAAGAAATTCCTAATTTCTACTAAAAATTACCGCCAAAGTTTGAGTGCATCTTATAGGCGAATATTTTCCCGAAACAATTTTTTTGATCATAGTTACTGGTACGATTTCAAGCAAATAAAAGGACACACAGTGTTGGTCATCGACTTTTATAAATATGGTGGTTCTGAAAAGAACTGTTTGAGTTGTGTACTGCCTGGAGTCTACTCATCTTCGCTTTCACTGTCGGTGTCGAATTTGTTGTCTAGCTCATCATCTGCATTCAGGACATCTCCGCTTTCACTCTCTTCTTTGTAAACAGCAGCATCCTCAGTTCCATCAAGTATATTAGAGATACTGAATGACTTGAATGATCTTATAACAAGCTCTGCGGGAATCTCCTGCTATGCTTTGTTGACCCACGGCAACACAAGTTCTTTGCTTCGCGCCCGCTTCTTTCCTAGTGACGTGTATGTGACGGGTTCGTTCACCATCCAGGCCTGATATTGTGCTCTGACTATAGTCTTAAAGGGCTTGTTTAGGCATTTGTTGAGGGGCTGGAGAATTTGAGTAAGGCCACTGGGAATTACAGCAATGCCAACATTCCTTCGCGCAAGCAGCTCTTCCACGCCGTCTGTTAGATGTCTGCAGAAGGAATCCCACACCAGCAAGGCTCTCTGATCCGGCATGTAGTGTAGATTTCTTCACACCCATTCTTTTGTTCCTAGAAAAGAAAGATACTGGAAAAAGTATTTGAGTGAATTACTCTTAAACCCAAACATAAGTGCTGAAATAATCAAACAGTGATCAAATGTAAACCAACTCCCCAACAAGGGAAGTCAAATTTGCATAGATATGATACGTGCTCAAGAGCACGTGCTCAGTAATTTGATACGTCACAAAATGAAACAAAAATAAACAAGCAAAGAGATAAATACCTTCTTCATCCATCCAACCTTTTTTGACCTGCATTCTCAGCGGTTCGTTAATTCTTAGATGCTGGACGCCTTTAAAGATGACCTTTGAGGGAAGTTTCTCGCCCTTCACTTTTACTGCAAGTGTAACAGTAAAGCTCTACTTGTCCACACCGCAAGTTGTGATCAGCACCATCTGGTTCCCCATAAACTCAAGCATTCGTGTTGCTGGTAACTCGAACCACACTGGTGTTTCATCCATGGTGATGATGTGGCTTAGCGGGTACTCACAGCGCCTCCGGGCTCTCACCACAAAGCGGTCAAATGTCACGATCTTATCCTCTATGTTCGCTGGTAGACACTGGGCTAGAAAGGTCTTGGCTCACATGGAAATGGAATTGCGGCGTTTCCAATTGTTGTACCATCCGTCAAGTTTATGGTAGAATTTACAATAAACTTGACCAATCTTTACTCCCCTTATAACCAAGTATTTTAGCGATATTTTCAGTTTGAAAACATGCAATAATGAAGTTGCCAAATTGGCAAAGTGCGCCTTATAACCGAATAACTACGGTATATTAAATTACTGGTATCTAATGTTTGTCTCTCAGTGGATGAAAATCATTTAGAGCATAATTATATCTGATTTGATGATAATGAAAATGATGATGAGCCCTTTATTCAAGTGTCAAACTGTACTAGCAGTGTAGAACCAATAGGTGGGGACACTAAAATAAGTTTAAAAAGAATAAATAAATAAATTAATTCAAGATGTAAAAAAACCAGAATGTCGAGAAAAAAGAAATTAGGAAAAACTATAAACGATGTGTGCAGATAAGAGAATAATAATAAGAATTCAATATGAACAAATGTATCTGTTGCAGGTCAAATTTTATTTTAGGTTACCGTATTTTTTCAGTTATAAGGCGCAGCATTCAAAGAAATTTCGCCTTATCGCCTTTGAATTGTCTCAGACTCAGGGTGCGTCTTATACTAAGTATTTTCATGCAACAAAATTCAAGAATGTCCTATTTTCTAACTTTAACCTGGTATAAAACAAGATAAATAGATAGAAGTTTACTCAACTTGGTGGTTCTGAAAAGAACCATTCTATTAATGCTGCTGCAGGTACGTTTTATTCTCCTTCTTTGCCTTCACCGTCGGTCTCGAATTCATTGTCAATAATCTCCTCCGCATCTTCCGTCTCTTAATTCTCTTCTTTTCAAACTGCATTGTCTTCTGAGCTGTCTAGCGCATTCGCGATTCCACAGGATTTGAACAACTTCTCAATTAAATCTTGAGAAATTCCGTTCCAGGTATGATTGATCCAGGTCAACACCAGTTCTTTGCGCAGCACTCTCTTCTTTCCAGATGGAGTATATGTGAACTGGCCATTTACCATCCATGTTTCATACAGCATTCGGAGTTTGGCTTTGAAAGGCTTGTTAATGCACTTGTCTAGGGGTTGCAAAACTGACCTCAGGCCACCGGGAATGACAGCAGCATCAACATTTTGTCTCACAAGGAGGTCCTTGACAGCATCGGTCAAATGGCCACGAAAAGAATCCCAAACCAAAGTGCTCTCTGATGTGGTGTGAATCGGAGATTTTTCGGAATCCAATCTTTTGTTCCTACAAAAGAAAAAGAGAGAGAAAACTTTGATTAGGCCTACAGCAAAAACAACTTTTTAAAACGTATTGCTATCAGATTGATTTTATGAATATCAGAAGTGTCAATTAAAGCCCACGTGCTTTGGAAACATGATATGAATGATGTCACAATTCTGAGAAATCCCTGCGCTGAATAACTTTTCGATTGAAAGATAAATAAACAAGGAAAGAGAAATACCTTCTTCCTCCATCCAGCCTTTTTTGTGTACTGAGACCTGCATTCTTGGTGGTATCTGGATTTGCAGCAGACAAACGCCCATGAAAATGACTTTCAGCGGTAGTTTTTCTCCATTGGCTTTAACTGCTAGGAAAACTGTGAAACTCTGCTTGTCTCCACCACACAACAAGATCAGCATTGTTCAGTTGCCCGTGAATTCAAGGGTTCTTGTGACGGGCAGCTCAAATCACATGAGAGTTTTTTCCATGTTTAGGATGCTGCTTAAGTGGTAGTCATGACGTCTCCGGGCCCTCAACACAAACAATGCAATTTGACGATCTTCTCCTCCATGTCTGCTGGTAGATGCTGCACCAAGGCTGATTCTCCCTTTCCTTTGTTTCCTAGCCCTAACTTATGAATAATTAGGGATAGAAGACAAAGGGTTAGAACAGAAGGTGAAATGATTGGATGATACAGTGGAAACAGCTCAAGCCTGATTTATGCATGACTTGGCTAAATTCTGTATTGTTTCACTTCATTCTATACTACTATGCTTTTGTGAAGTATTATTGCAGTGTAAAGCCAATACAATACGATACCATACTTTTACCATACAACAGATGGGGAAAGATTTGTAAGGGCTGCACAAACCCTGATCATCCTGTCAATAAGTGGAATTTTTCCACTTTTCTCTGAACATGTCAAATAATCTATTGATAGTATTCCCTGCAGGATAGAATACTTTTGCCTCAGGAGTCCAGGGACATGCTTGAC